GGGGATTACAATCGAGATGGAAAAAAAAAATGTGCAAAATGATGTAAAAATAAACTGTGTAATAAATAAAATAAAAAAAAAAGATTATCTTTTGTGTTTCATAGAAAACAGAGGTGGTGGATAATAAATGGAATAAAACAACTTTCCAAAAGTCTGTCCCCATGAGCACTTACCTGGTATGCTTTGCTGTACATCAGTTTGCTTCAGTAGAGAGAACATCAAAGAAAAACAAAACGGTGAGTCCTATTATATTTTTAAAAATTGATTACCTATGCATTTGTGATTCATTTTCTACCTTTTTTGAAGTTTTTGGTTTTTTACTCAATAGACTAGAAAAGCCCACTAGTCACCAGGGCCTGTGAACTTGATGATAAACGGAACAATCTAGAACAATCTTAACAGGAAAGGACACAGGTGTAAAATAAACATGGATGACGTAGGTAGGGATGCCTAGCCATGAGTTATTTTAGGGAGAAAATTCACTCAATCAGAAGAGGGTGTGTATATATATATAAAATATCAGGACAAATACATTCCAATACTTGACTCTGCCTAATTTAAGAAAGCAGTCAGTGAAGGCTATGAACACTTGGGATGGATTCTAGATAGGGAGTCCGCCAAGATGCAGGAATTTCCTTCCTGTAACTCAGCATTGAGAAATGTATGGAGGCATTCCTACATGCAATTTAAAGGAGAGTACAATAAATGTCAAAAAGTCCTTTTTAAAAGAATAAGGAAATATGAATAGGCTGTTGAAGGGCAACAAGTTCTTGAAGTTCACCATGGAAGTCCACATCTGTTCTTCACCCTACCTGATTTACATACAGACTTCCTCTTACCTTCTGAGAACTACTAGTTGGCCTTACTGTTCAAAAGTTTTAAATAAGCTTATTTTTTAAATCAAGGTAACTAATTCAATACATTTCTTTGGAAAAATCAAACTGCCACCTAGCCTGTTTTTCTCATTTTGGAGGCTTCCATTTTGCTTATGCAAATGTAAGGGAAAATCCCACTTTTCAGATCAAAGTATGGCAACTTAATGAGTTGAGGCTCTTTGCTCCAGATCACCTGGCTGGCAAGTGGTGAGAATTTTTTTTTCAAATACTGTATCCTGCTAAGCCTCTGAAATGTCATATTCTGTAAATATCTTTTCCCTCTTCACCAACCACTGGGTAGAAGGAATGGATTCTTCTACTCATGAAACTAGATCCTGGGTATTTACCTTCATGTTGGTATTGTCGGGATGGACACAAACACATGCTAATCCTGGGTTTCCAAGCTGCTGCCTTTTTGGCATCTAAATGGTAGCACACCTAAGATTTTTTCCAAGGGTCAGTGTATTGGAACCACCCACCTGCTTCTGTCTTTCCTTGCCGCATCTGTTGCTTTGGATGTGGCCTTCGGTGGGGGCTGAGGGCACTGCCTTTGTCTACTAGATGCTGCTGTTTACCTATATGCTGAGTGCTGTCAGAACACTCCTCTTACCAACATAGAGAGGAGATTAGTCCAGCTTGTTTTTCCGCAAATCCCACTCTTTTTCATTCTTGGTGTGGTCATTTCCGGTCTTTTGTGATTCTGTACAAGTTTCAGTTATGTTTGTTCTTTAACCCTGAAGAACGCAGTAGGAATTTTGATAGGGATTGCCTTAAATGTTTTCAGCTTTGGGTGAGACAACCAAATGTTAATTCTTCCAATCGAGGGCCACAAAATATGATTCCTTTTTTATGTTGTCTGTGCTGTTCCTTTCACAATGCCTTATTGTTTTCATTTATAGAGCTCTTCTGCTTTCTTTGTTAAGTTTGTAACTGGGATCATTTCATAATTTCTTTGTCTTGTAGTTTGTGAGATTTATCTTGTTTTTTTGATGTGGTCCTGGATTGCTATAAACTTCCCTCCTAATATTTATCACTTTTGCTGCGTTGTATAGTTTCTGATAGCTTTTGTGTTCATTTTCATTTTTCCCCAGGTATTGACTTTTCCTGTGACCCAGTAATATTTCAGTTACATGTTGTTTCATGCCTACATATTTAAAACATTTTTGGTTTTCTTTTTGAGATTGAGGTCTACTTTTAAATCATTATGATCAGAAAAGACACTTGATATAATTTCAGTTTTCATGAATTATTGGTACTTGCTTTGTGACCCAATATGTGATCAATCCTCAAACATCTTTGATGTGCACTTGAGGAAAATGTATAGCCACATTTTTGGGGGGGACGAGGGGATGTTTGGAGTGCCCTGTAAGGGTCTGTTAATTCCACCTGGTCTAATTCTTCCTTTAAGGTGTTCTTTCCTTTATAGACTTTCTGTCTGGTTGATCTGTCCATTGTTCTCAGTGAGGTGCTGAAGCCTTCTTGTGCTATTCTGCTCTTGTCAGGTTCTCTCTGTAGGTCTCTTAAAAATTGACTTTATACATTTGGATGCTCCAGTTGCTGCATCTAAGTTGGTGCTTATGTATTAATGAGTGTTGTGTCTTCTGATGGACAGATACTTTAATCATTACATACTTTCCATCCTTTTCTCTTGTTATTTTTTTTACAAGTCTATTTTATCTGATACAAAGAAGATTTGCAAGATAGCTATCATGACTAGTGATGGATTTTATAGAAAGGTCTTAGAATGACAAAATGGAAAATAATAGAGCTTGGCAAAGGTCCCAAAATGCCCTCTAAGTGGTAAATACTTTGTTAACTGCTTCTTCTATGAAAACTAAGTCCATAATATCCTATCATAAATCAGTGATGTCTTCATCCTTTGGGAGGGAAATGAAGATGTCATACTTTATTACTTTCTGATCATGTTTGATAAAAGTGGAGCAGAAACTATCTTTGGACACATCTCAGAGACTCTGGGTCAAGAGGAGTCAGTGAACGTGAAGAGAACAAAGTAGGCACCCTCCCACTCCCCATTATACAGAAGACAGGCAACCGGAATTGTCCCTCCTGCAAAAAGAAAAACAAAACCAAAAAAACTATAAGGCTGTTTCCTTCCAAAGCCAAGCAGAACCTTTCAGGGGAACTTTGAAATATCCATTGTGAATGTCCGTTCACAGTAAGTTCTGCCTCTTTGGTGTCTGGGCTCCCGCCTGGCCCCCCACCCACTCAGCCTAAATTGAAATCCAGCAGTTGAACACCTGAGCCCCAAGTGCTCCCAGGACCATTTCTTACTCCAGAGAGAATTACAGACAAACCAATCTACTTGAGCCTACTTAAATGTAGCATGGGAGGAAACCCACACTAGCCTCCCAGTGCTACATTCTTACGAGTAAACAGACAACGGAGGCAAACAAGTACATCCGGAAAAAGAAGAACAAGAAAACACCCAAGGCAAATAAGTCCAAAAACGCACAAGTAATAATAGATGGGGAACCAAGATAATTCCCCAAAAAAATCTATAAAAATTACACAGTCACACACATTCAACTTTTAATTATCACTCAGAATTAAAAAGCTGTGATTACCATGAAATAAAACAAAGTCAGAAAAGTAGGAGAAAAATCAAAAATAGTAGTCAAAATTTAAAAACACGATGCCCAAAGCATGACCTGGCTCCGGCCCTCACCAACCTATTTCTGACTAATTCCTTCCCAAGCCAGAGCCCAGGAGACCTGCAGCATGGATTCCTGCCCATAACATCAAATACTTCTTAATACTTCTTTTTTTTTTTTTTTTAATACCAACTCCGTGGAGGTGTCTGTGTTGTTTATGCCCTACAGGGTCTTGCAGGTTTTCCATTTTACCTGCATCTGTCACTTCGGCATGTCAGGAACAGTAGCAGCGGCATCAGTATCAGTCCATTGCACCATCTTCACCTGAAGCCCAGCACCAGGTTTTTGATTAAAAAGAAAATAGAGCCAAAACTAGCAGGCGAACTATAAATTGGAGACATACAGCAGGGAGGGGGAAGGAGAAAGATCAAAACAGAGAGGGAAAAGCACAAGAGACTATTGTGGCCCAGTCACGGGTGACTGGGTGGTGGGAATTTTGTGGGAACTATACCTCAGAGGAGAAATCAAACATTATACAAAAATGAATAATGATGTAAAATATATATATTTAAATAAATATGTTTATTAATCCTTATGTTTAATGGAGCTAGGGAGCTGTCAGATAATACACCATTTTTAGTAGAAATTTTGTTAATCAAAGGCTATTCTCATTCTCTCCGCTCCTGACAGTATTATTCTGCTACATTAATCATCTGCTTTCATAATAAGATTATACTGTGCAGTCCAAGAAACTAATAGCCTGATTAAATTCTGTTGGGTATGTTCACCCCTCATGTCTAAGAGTATATTTATATCAGCAAACACATATCAAGGTTTCTGTCTGGTTAACCTAGGAGCCTGGGAGGTATTGGTAGCTGAAGTGTCTGAAGCCTGCATTATGCTCACATGTCCTGTTGCCTCATGAGAAAAAAATTAGGTTGGAGGACCCAATCCTAAAATACAATTCAGAAAAAAGGTAGCTCAGAGGACGTTAGCTTTATTTCATGTTTTGCAGATCAGTTGCAATTTTTGAGTCTGCTCTGGAAAAAAAAAAAGTAAGTTGAGGAGTTACTTAGTGTAACTCTGCAAGAAGTAAGGACAGCCATGCACAGAGGGTTTTTTTTTAATAATTGTGTTGGCTACAAATCTTTCTGAGGTATTTTCAAGCATAGTTGATTGGCTAAGCGTTTTAAAGTAAATGAAATTATTAATTCTACCCCAGGAAAAGAAAATCATCCCTGCACTGTGCAAAATATAGAGACATCTCTGACCTTCCAGTTCTGTGAATTAAATCTTGAGTTAACAATAAAATGTGTTTCTATTTCCAATTCAGAACTCTTTTGGAAACAGTATCCCCCATTAATTTGTAATCTGATATTTCCACTGAAGATTTCCCGTTGAGATTAATGTTGGCCACTTCCAAATCCAGAAAAATGTGGATTATGAATTATTTTTTTTTAAGATTTATTTATTTATGCATAACGAACTAGGATACAAGCCAGAGTTGCTGGGGCGGTGAGAGGCTTCACCAGAGACAGAGTGGGGAGCAGGACAGGCAGACTGACTGAAATACACTGCTGAGGGGAGCAGCGGGTGGGTCAGAAATCCGCCATGCCATGTGGGTTAGGGATCTAACTCACACTGAAACGCTGTGGCTGGCTTGCAGTGCTGCATCCTAATCCGTTGCGCCACCAGGGAGGGCCTCAATTATGTTTTTAAAGTCTTTTAAGTTGTAGGTTTACATGGGTG